TAATTTTTTTTCTTAAGGATTTTGAGCAAATTATTTTTAAAAATAAATAATCCCATCATTTTGATAAAGAAAATTCAGCCCTTTTAATACTTTATATGCACATATCTTAAAAATAATAATAATTCATTTTTTTTAAGAATGTAATTATTGTTGACGTTCATAAATTTAAAATTATTAATGTTTCTAATAGTATAATTGATACTCCGTCAGCAAATTCAAATCATCAAGCATGAATCTCTAGGTATCACACAAATCTATAAACAATCTTTTCAACAAGAAACATTTAAACTGTAATTAAGAGTTTAAGAGCACCGATTTCAACAAACTTATATTCAAACTGTCTGGCTCGATAAGACAAACTCAATGATGCCAAAATTGATCCAATCTAAGTCAAATCAAGCTCACCTCAAGCCATTAAACTTTTTTTGTTAGCTTTTCGAGCATATATTGGGAGGTTAAATGAATGTCAAATCTGATGAGCTTAAAATTGGATCGAGCGTCTCAGCAAGACGAATCCCACAAGTCCAAGATAGTTCAATTCCGATATCGGTAAGTCACTCAAATGTCCATCAAACATCTTATGATCAGATGAAGATCTCCAGATCGTCCGATCAAAATAGTTTATATTCTTGCATTAATTGCACGCGAAATTATATAAATAGAGCTGCACTCCTCTCATGAGTGGGAGGAGAGCTTGAAGTCTGAACATAAAGCTTGAAGCTTTGAGAATGAGCTGAAGTTCAGCAACATTTCTACCGCCGTCGGCCACCGCTGACCACAGTCGGCTAATGACGGCCGTCACCGATTGTTATCGATCATCGATTGCAACAAATTCATTTGTATGTAAATGTTGTAATTTGGGAGACCTTATAACCCTTTCCTGCATATGAAACAAATGGTTGCAAGTGTAATTATCATTTCACACTAGAACTCTTCAGTTGTGCCCAACCTTGTGGTTTTTTCATTTATGAGTTTTTCACATAAAAACTTCTAGTATCAATTCTATCTGTTTTCTTTCTTCTGAGTGTGTGTTGAATCTTCGTATCATACTAAGATGATAAAATGTTACTCTACTGCTAAGAATTTTCTAGCACACATCAATAATTTTATTAAGAAAATTATTTTATTTTTTGATAAAAGTATATATTTTTACTAAAATGATATATAGTTAAACATTTTTAAGAAAAAAAATTATTATCTAAATTTAAGTAATCGTAAAATATATTAAAATTTTATTTTATTTTATATATTAATTTAATTTATTTACTTGGTAATTATCTATTTTTTAAATTGATTAATTCATTTGGTAAAAGAACATATGAAATGACATTTAACACAAATTTCATTTTTCGTTCAAGTGTAGCGTAGCTTTATTTTTTCTTACTTTATGGGCCGGAGTTGGGCCGTTTTCTACTAGGACTTAATTCTAGGCCGAATTGTATGCGTTGGATATTTACTATGTGCAACGGCCCAATTGTAGCTCCAATTAAAAAATTCATTCTTGCTCCAATTAGTGCATTAAGAACTTTTGTTTACACGTGTGATTAGCCTCACCCATGCTTGCACCAATGAGCTGCCACAATTATAAACCCTAAGCAAATCAGCTGTAGCTCATTAAGAGTTTGATAAAATTTTGTAAAAAAAAAATTTATGGAATAATAAAAACTATATTTGTCTTATGAGATGTGAATTTAATTAATGAATTAATTAATGTAATCGAGTTGAATTGACAAGCTATTGAGCCTGAGTCAGGCAAAGTTCGGCTTATGAGCTCATTAACGAGTTGAGTTCAAGACGGTTCACGAGTGACTAAACTCACTTACACCCACAAGTGGTGTTGAAAAGATTATGTCAGACGGCTAATCAATGACGATGAAACATTTGTCAATCACTTTAAGGTCGATCCTTAATTATTTGTCAATTCTGAGGATTGCTGGATGAGTTGAATTACATAGGCACGTCCAACTCTTGGGAAAGTGATAGCTTGAACTTCAATTCGCAAGGTCAATTTGTCTGGTAGATTCAATGGATTTGATTCGATATGAAATGGGCCCAAGAATTTGGCCCAGATCGTGTGGTTCGTCAGATGTTTATTAGCTGATAATTAGACCGAAAAAGCCCATTTATCTTATTATGTGTGAGCCCTAAGGGTTATATGCGCGAATTGAACTTACGATCTCACTGTTTATATTTTTTCTCTGAAAAGCTTCTCACCGTGTTATGCGCAATTATGAGGTAACAAGGTGATGATGTGAAATATACCAGTTATTTTGGTATATATATATACAGGAACAAAATAGGATAACGATCTTTGACGAAGCGAAAAATAGAACGAGCAAAATTCACCCCAGAAAATAGTAACATAGCAGAACACACTGATTTACGTGATTCAACAAATTGCCTATGTCAACGGAGTTGCAAATGATTTTACTACTTGAGGAATTTACACCAGTCGATCGTCTCGACTTACAAGAGGAATCTCTCACTTTATTGCTCTCTATTCTTCTTTCTTTGTTCTTCTCTCTCTACACCGATATACACCGAAGAAACTCTATACTGAGATACACCGAAGAAGATAAACTTACAAGAGAAATAAACTCAATATCTCTTCTGTCACAATCAACTAAGAAGCCAAAGGAGAACAATCTTCTTCTTCTTCTTTCTTCTTCATTCTACTGCAAGGAACTGCTGCGTGCACTTTATTTTCTTTATCCAGTAGAAGCAGAAACTATCGAAGAAGAACTCACAAAAGGCTGTGCAAAATCTGAATGAGAGCCGTGTGTACACCCAATTCTTCCTTTTCTGTTCGCAACTTAAAAGAGGCGAGTGGCGGTGTCGTTTCGTGAATCGTAGGTGGAAGCAGTTCGTGTAACCGTAAGGTCGCAGTCGTGACCTTTCGCGATCAGAAAAGCGGGAGCGGGTTGTGCTAGTAGATATTAATTTATATGCGCATTTACATATATACCCCCCAATTCTTATGTATTTACACATATAACTCCTAGACTTTAATTCTTAGATTTATACCACCCAAATCTTTCATATCACATAAAATTGCCACATTTAAACTTCTAAAAGTGAAATGCACTTGTATGTCAGAAAATGGAGTTTAGGTGTTTGATATGTAAATACATAAAACTTCAGTGGCATGCATGTAAATCTTCCTAATTTTTAAAGCCATTGACATAAATACCACATATTATGTACACATATCTTACAATTTAACTTTTATATTTACCTATATAGCACTCCAAGCCATACATTTCATCATAGATAATTTTTAAAAGTGAAATACGCATATGACATGAAAGTATTATAAATATAAATATAAAATTTTAGGTGTTTGATATGTAAATGTGACCCCCCAAAATTTTGGAGGAACTTTTGCAAGACGGGAGGAGGAGAAAGTAGGGTTTTTTATTGAGCTGATTTTGGGCTGAGATGCGGCTGGCTCGGGATTAGCTCGATTGGATTGAGTTCATAACGAAATTAAATGATGGCTCGTTATGCTTTATTTCGAGCAAGTTGGGTCAAAATTGAATCGAGCTCAATCCGACTCAAAATCCAAATAAGCTTGCTCAAATTTGAGTTATTTGGCTCCGTTCCAGCTAGAAATTGGCTTGATCAGGCTCGAAATTGAAGATGACTTAGATTGAGATTTTTTTGGATCCGTTTCAGCATACATTATATTTGATTTTATTTAACATTATATATAATTTCTATAAATAAAAAATAATTCGAGCTGATGTAGAGCCAGTTCGAGTTGATTCTTGTACGATTCGAAATTAGTACGAAAAAAAGTTCGATCGAAAGTTTTGACTCAAAGATTGACTCGTTTATTTCAATCCGAGCTAAGATTTGAATCAATTTTCAGACGATTAACAATCTTCGAGCTAAATTAACCACCCTAATTAAAAGTAGAGAACAAGGAGGAGAGGAATATCAACGAGCTAGAGTATATTGCACAATACATTGTTCATCTGAGGCATAACATCGAAGAACGACTCGGCTTCATCGTCTCCTCTACTCAGACCAGACCTGCCTTAGGATTTAGTAGGGA